GCGTTTCGGCATTGCGCGGAAGGGGGGGTTGGGAGGGAAGGGGGGGGGTCTGGCTCCAGGCATCTGCTTGGCGCGACGGTCTGCAAGAAAGCGGCCTTTGGGGGAGCATTACGCCCGCTCGAAGCAGGCGCCAAAAACGACCGAGATCTACTCCATGGGGGGTGGAGGGGGGGGGGGGGGACCCGCGCCGATCGGCAAAACAATGATTAAACAAACGATCACCTGTAGGAGCTTCATGGTGATGGGTGACCCAGAAAGGCGCCTGCTATAGAGGCCTCCCAAACGGGGTCGGAGTTCACGGGTTCGAAGGATCGCGCCTCATCGGCGATGCATCGGCGACGCCAGCGTGGAGAACATCGGGCTCCTCATCGAGCCGCATCGCCGATGCATCGAGGATGCGGCGAAATCCCCCGATTCCATCTGCTCCGACCCCATCTGGGAGGCCCAGGGTGATGGGTGACACAGAACGGCGACTGCTAGCAGGCCAGTTCCGAAACTCGAGCTGCCCGCTGTATCGGAAGCGCTCGGCCGACCCCCGGGCGACGGCGCTCCCTCCACCGCGATCGGAGCGCGAGCATCTTGCACGGCAGGAGGGTCGCTGGCCCGAGGCCGGCGGGAGATCCAGGGCTGCCCTGATGAGCGGAAGCAGCGGGGCAGAATGTCGTGAGGAGGTGCCCCCAAGGCCACGAAACAACGATGCGCACAAGGCTGCGGAACATCGGGTACAGTCGGGGCCTTGACCCAAGGAACTCTAAATAAGGAACGAGGCCCCTTTTTTCCACAAGTTAAACTTCGATTTCATATCGGAAACCTAAGGAAAACCTGAGGCAAGCTGTGAAGCACTTAAGAAACGCGGAGCCCCTCCCCAACGAAAAGGGTTCCTTCTGCAGGGCCCCGACTGTACCACCTGTTCGAATCAGGCTGCCCGCTGGACCCTCCTTCGAGGAGAACAGTGATTGTGTTTGGAGGGAGGGGTTGGATGGAGGGCATGAACAACAGCATTCGGATGCGATGCACGATACCTTCGACCGCCTACGGGTAAGGATAACATCATTTCTCCCAAGCCCCCCATCCTTCCAACCCGATGATTGTCTTCCTGACTGTTCGAATCAGGCTGCCCGCTTGCCAAACGGTCAATGCCAACACGGCTGGACACACTACGTCAAGCAGAGTCTCTTGCTGATCAGGCGGCACGCACACCAGCCCACTTCTCCTGCTTGCAGAGGCTCGTCCTCCACCTCCTCCCAAATCGCTTGCCCCCGACCAGCTCAACCGCCCATCATCCCCTCATCTGCCCAGAGCCTTGAGGCTCTCCTTCGCCTCCTCATGTCCACCCAACGTCCAAACGTATACTCCTTCATGGGGCTCCTCCTCCTCCTTGTCCCCCTCACTCGTCCTGCGTTCCTCGTCCTTGTGTTGGCATCTCCCTGTTTCTTCGCCTCATCCCTCTTCATAGCCCTTCGTCGCATGTTATCCTCATATATTGATCCACCTCCCGCTCCCCCCTACTCCTCCTCCTCCACCTCCTTCTCCTACTCTTCCTCTTCCTCCTCCGTCTTCACACCATCTACCTGGGTCACATGACTTATCTTCTTCCACTGCCTCATTATGTTTATCTGTCTCCACTTCAACCGCATCCTCATTCTCCCCACCAAGTGTCTCATCAATCCCCCCTCCTCCTCCGAATCATTCATTCCCTCCTGAGCCCCACTTGTATTTCCACGGCTCTTCCACGACTGCCTTTCTATGGAAGCGTCGACGGATATCCCACCCCAGCCTGGCCTCCACTGCGCACACCCACAAGCGAAGAAACCAGGGCGCGGGAAGGGAATGAGCACGAGGCGGAGGCGGAAGAGGGGCAGGCAACAATTCAGGCAACTCGATGGGCGGCAGGGGTAGGGTCTGGAATTCGTTGAACACGTGTCGAAATCCGACCCCTACCCCCGCCTCCCATCGATGGAGTCGGGACGATGGTTGGTGGCGGTAGGGTTCGGATGTCGCCGCCTAACAGAAGGTCGGGGGGGCAGACGGCGTGGAGATGGAGCCAGGAGCAGAAGAGGGAAGAGGTGGAGAGAACGATGTGGAGGAGCAGCAGGAGGAGAAGGCGGGGGAGGCGGAGGAACAGGAGTGGAACAAACGGCCGAGGGGGACGCAGGCGGATGACGCGGAGGCGGAGCAGCAGCAGCGCAGCAACATACGCGGCGGAGGAGGACGACCTCGACGACCTCGACGGACGCCGGCCGACGAACAAAAACAGGACCTCGACGACCAGCCGCCGACGACGACCTCGATCCTCGGGCCTCGATCTTCGCCCACGCTTCGCTCAGAATCCCCCCTCCTCCTCCTCCTCCTCCTCCTCCTCCTCCTCCTCCTCCTCCTCCTCCTCCTCCTCCTGGACCCCTCCCAGGGCCATTCGCCCCCTCTGCCCTCCCCGAGCCGCCTCTTCCGGTCGCGGCGACGGAAACCTTCAGGAACGCATCCCCAAAGCGACGACGGCCGCCGACGACGCTCGGCGGCGTGCCCAGGGGGGGAGGGCAGAGGGGGCGGGCCTGCTCAGACGGCGGCTCGAAGGACCTGGCCTTGCGAGAAGCTGCCCGCAACTTCCCCGGAGCATCGGGGGCCTTCTCAAAAGGCCAAAGGGCTTCTGGGCAGCCCCGCCGCCTTCTGAGGAGGCCTGCCCCCTCCCAGCGCGCCGCCGAGACGAATCACCACGACTTGTTTCATCCATAACTATATATATATATATATTCCTGTATATAGTTACACATACACATTATCTACATACATCTGCACAGCTAGATGTGCAAAGAATATGTGTAGATGAGATGTTCGCGTTATTGCGCAAACCCTGCGGCCCCCCCCCCCCCCCCCGAAACGCGACCCCCCCCCCCGATCCTTGCTCCCCGGGGCACTACTCGTGGGCCTTCGAGGGTCCCTGCCATCCCGTGCAAGCGGGCCTCCGGCGGTGCTCAAAAGGCCTCCCAGAGAGCAGCGCTCCGAGAGGGACCCGGATGGGCGACGCTGAAGGGCGGGTCCTGCGCGGGATGGCGCCGCAGCCTTCCGCGTCCGCTTGCGCGGGCCGCCAGCGCGGTACGCTGGGAGCGAGGGTGCTTGCGCGCGACCTCACGCGAGCAGCTCACGCGCCCATGTCGGCGCAGACGGCTCCGTTCTTCTGCGTCGCCCAGGTGACCGCAAGATGGCCCAAAGGGCCCCCAAGACGTACCAAAAATGCTTTCACCTCCACAAGCAAAAATCTGCGAAAACCCTTCAAAAACCTTACGTGTTTGGCATCTACGCTTCGATGGTCACAGAAGCGTCCAGGACCGTCCATGGGTCCCCGAGATCACCCCCAAATGACCCAACGAGGCCTTCAAGAACGCCCCAAGACGGCTCAAAAGGGCTTCAAGACTGCCCAACAGAACCCCGGCCCAAACGAGACCCCGAAAGACCTCCAAAGGCCCATAGAAAGGCCCAAGAGGGTTATGGGAGGCTTCCAAGGGGGCCCAAGATGGCCCCAAGACAGCTTCCAGAAGGCCCTCACCCCCCTGGACAGCCAAAGAGGGCCGAAGGACTGCCAAAGAGGACCCCAAAAGACAGCCAAGAAAGCTCCCCAAAAGGACCCCCAAGAAGGCCTGGAGAGGCCACCCTCATTCACGGCCCAACGGACCCGCAGAATCGCCCCCAAACGTCCGAATAGGCCTCCAAAAGGGCCCGCCGACGGCCCCAGCCGGCCTCCTGACGGACCGAGATGCTCCCACGACGACCCCCCCAAGCTCCAAGACTCCCCCCGCACGCATTCCAGATCGAGGCCTGGCCGTCCAAGTGGGCCAGCGGCGGTCCGCACTCAGTCCGCGGAGCGCCTCAGGTTGCCCCAAGAGCGGCCCACGACTGCCCGAAAAGGCATCAAGATGGCTCGAACAGCTCCTTCGGCGGCGCTTCCCTACGAAATGCCGCATTCTGTCCAGAATCTCAGATTGGCAATCACTTTCCTGGAAGATATGTTGCGAACCTGGCATGCCATGAATTTCCTACGAAATTCGCGCATCATGTCCATGATTGCGAGCATTCATAGCCTCCGGCTGACAGTAAAAAAAAGCATTCAGCATGCCTCGTCCCTGGAAGACTGTCTTCACTTGCTCTGACTGTTGCGAAGCTTTGTCTGTTGATGTTTTCTTGGCGACTCAGCTGCAGCGGTCCAATCCGGCCTGCAGTGTGCGAAGCTCGAAGGACCAAGGTGCATGGCGCGAAGCGCCAATGCAGTCTGATGTGTTTGAAAGTACGTCTACATGAGCATATATATATATGTATATATAGTTTACAGGTGTATGTGTCTATACATTTGTATGTATGTATGTATGTATGTATGTATGTATGTATGTATGTATGTATGTATGTATGTATGTATGTATATATATATATATATGTATACACATCCGAGCCCATGAATCGATGAGAGACGGTGTTCGCCACGTGCTCGACGAAATCCGAACCCTCCGCCGCCCGCCGAGTTGCCAGACCCGTTGATCGGCGAGGGTGGGGCTCGGAGGCCGCCGCCGCCGGACGATGCTCAGCACGAGGGCAGCATGCTGTCCAGAGGTCACCGGGTCCTGGGCTCCCGGGCACTCCCCCAGGACGAAATCTTCCCCCAGGACGACGCTTAGCACTCATCCTGAGCCGTTCCCTGACGCTCCCCGGAGCCCCTTCGGAGGGCCCCGAGCTCGAGAGTACGGCGAGCGAACAGCACCCCCGGGCCCGCTGCTCCCTCCTCAAGGACCCCCCCCTTCCTTCCCGGCGAGGCCCTCGCCGCCGAGCGATAGAGGATCTCCTTTGGCCGCCGCGGCCTCCAGTGCACCGCCGCTGTCCCGCGTCGCGTCGAGCGGCTCCTCGGGAGCCGCCCGGCCCTCGGCGGCGGCCTCGGCGGCGGCCTCGGCGAAGCCCGCCGCGCGCGCGGCGGCGGAGCTGGGGCGGCCGGCGGGCGCGGCGCCCGCGGCCGCGCGCGCGCCGCCCGCCGCGGCGCGGCCCGCGTCCTCAGCGCGCACCTGCCAGAGGATTATAGGATGAGGTCGGGCGTGTCCCCCTACGGGCGGATTCTGGAGGGAAACTTGGACATTATGAGAAACCTGCAGAAAGAGGCAAACAACAAGTGGAACAAGCTCGTCCCCCGAATTATGTTTTGACCGTGTTTGAAGAGGCCTCCTGTACGAGGGACATGCCCGAGATGAGATCAAGAGGCACCGGTGCCGGTGCCGCTGCCAAGGCGCCCCGTTCTCCCCCTTCTTTCGGCCTCCCATGGGGGGCCCGCGTCGCCACCGCCGGAGTCGCCTCGAGGTCCTGGTCCGCACGCGCCCACAGGAGAGGTCCGGGGAGTGGCGCTGGCGTTAAGTCGGGCCTGTTCCCCCTACAGGGGATTTTTCTATGAAAAATAAGAAATATTCCAAACATGCACCAAAAAGGTCAAACAATATTCAAAAAATAATGCCCAGACTATTTTTTGACTATTTTTTATTCTTTTTCGATTAATTTTTATCATCGTCGAAAATCCCCCTGTAGGGGGACACGCCCGACTTAACGCTAGCGGTGTGTCCGTTGGTTTTTTCCCCGACGCCTGGTCCAACAGGGCGTCGATGCGCTGGCGGAGCGCGCGGTTCTCCATCTCCTCGCGCGCTGGGGGGCCCCGCTCGCCCCCGCGCCGTGGAGCGAGAGAGTCTCGCGCCGGGGGGGGAAGGGCATCGGGCAATGTTTGGGCCTCTCGGGGCCCGCAATAGGGCGCCCTGGGCCGTCCAAAAGCGGCCTCAGGATGATGACTTATCATCCTGAGGCCGCTTGGATATAAAAAAAACGCTGTAACTGTCAGATTATGCACGCGGTGCTCTGGCGAGACTCCTGGCTGATACCCCGCACCCAGTTCCGCGACCGTCCCAGACCCCCAGGTGCTCACAAATGATAAGTTGCTCGCTGAGCATGCAGTCGGCAGTGCAGGGCATGCAGTCGGCAGTGCAGGGATGGGGCCCCGAGCGATGGTGCCCTGAGGATATGCAAGGGCTCCCAAGCGGAACCTTCCCTGCTTGAGGCTCATCGTCCTTGGGGCCCCATGCCACAAGGCCCCATCATCTTTGAACCGCTGAAACGAGGGTGAACCCTGCTCGCTGCGGGTCAGACTTCTGAGACGCCAGCCGGGTCTCGGGAGCTTGACATGCGTTGTGAACCCAGAAGGAATCCCTGCAGGGAAGTCGGATACCCCAGCCTCGAGTGGCCCCACAGGAGTAGGGTTCGCAAGTCTTGGCGCACCCTGGATTCTTCACACAACATTAAGCAATCCACTTCTCTTGAAAGAAATGCGTTCCGTATGCATTGCAACATCCATGAGTTCCCAAGGTGGATCAGGTACTGCGTCCACGAAAACATGGCGGGCGACGCTTTTTCCTGGTAAGGCATAGGTTACTGGTGCTCCCAACCCTTAAGAATTCCCTGGAATTCCCAACAAGGCCCCCACACGACCAGAGAGATCTCAACAGCAGGATCGGCTCCCACCCCTGGACCTCAACAGTTGTCAACAACACATCGTTTGGTGTTGATCTTTTTTGAATCTTGGATATAGGATATCGTTGGTCCCCGAGCGATGTGGTGGCCCTTGCAATCCTCAAAGATTTGGTGGTGACCTCCCCCTTAACACATTGTTCGTTGTGTTGAGAGACGGTGGATCAATAAGACGATTGTTAGTTAGAGACGGGGACGGAGGAGGAGGAGAAGGAGGAGGACGACGATGATGAGGAGGAGGGGAAGGGAGTGAACCGAGGACCGAGCTGATGATGAGGGGGGGCCGCTGATACACGACTAGAGGAGCGATGTCGAGGGATGGAGGAGGAGGAGCAGATGTTTCCCGAGATGTTTCAGGAGGAGGAGGAGGAGGAGGGGGATGATGATGATGATGATGATGAGGAGGAGGAGGAGGAGGAGGGGGAGAAGGAGGAGAAGGAGGAGGAGGAGGACTCAGAAGGAGGAGGAGGAGGAGGACGACGACGACGGGGCAACGTGGACGAGGGGGATGGTAAGAAGGACGAGGAGCAGGAGGAGCAGAAGTAGCATGAGCAGGAGCACGAGCAGGACGAGGAGGAGAAGGAGGATGAGGAGGAGGAGAAGAGGAGGAGGAGGAGGAGGAGGAGGAGGAGGAGGGAGGAGGAGGAGGAGGAGGCTGGGCTGGGAATTCCCCCCAGCGCTTCAGTACGGGGTGTCCGTCGACCTCTTGTGAATGCTAAGAGCCCCCCGAGGGCCCCGAGGATCAGACATTACACGCTGTTTGTCCAGCCTCCCTCCCCTCCGTAGGGAGGGGAGGAGGGGACGGCTTGCCCCATGACATCCGACGTCAAAGCCTTGACAGCACCCCCATCACGTCATCACTCGCTCTGCGTATTGACCTCTGCATTCTACTTGCTTCACAGCCGTTTTGGCTCATGATCGCAGGCGACGGCGAACCGCTGGTGCAAGAGCAGGGGGACCACCCTCGCCCACGCCGTCGCCGACGGCAGCAGCACCCAGGGCTCATATTTTACTTTGTACTTGCGGCCACAGATGGGCATGGGTTATGGTTCAAAGAATTTCAAGCACATGATATGGATGGCTTCGAGTTTCCTGCTGGCGCCCCGTATTTGGTTGGCTTGGCGATTGTTTCGCGCCAGCTCGTGGATCTCGGTCACGATTTTGTCAACGCCCCAGTAGCTCAGGCAGCTCTTCGGAAACCCAGTGGTGTCGTCCGTGGGCTCGTGTGCTATGTCGTTCAGGACGGGGGTCCTTCGTTACACCGCCACCGCCCGACCCCATCCTCGATTCGACGGGGGTTGCGGGGAAGCGATTTCAGAGGGGAGGTTTGGCCCTGCTCGGGGGCAGTGGTTTTCGAACGTGATGCGTTTCAAACCCTTGATGTTTGTGGGGGTTCGGGGTCGGGGCGGAGTCGGTGAAACGTTCGGATGTCCGCAGGACTTGGTTCGATTTACACATCCAAGCGCGTGTGAGCTTCAGCTGCCTCAACAAATATTGAGATTTGCGAGTGACTTCATGGTTATACGCTGCGGGGCCCACCACGGACATGAAGATGCGATCCCGCTTCGGCAACATGTTGGTATATTGCCCGCAGCAACCAAATTTGCAAAAGTATGCTTATGTCCGAAAGTGGCAAAGGCAGTGATGACGATGTCTACCACTGTATTCCATGCAGTTCCCATTGGCCAACGAATGCAACGAACAATGTTACTAGAACCCGTACCATCACGGAAAGTAGTGAATGAATTCCTCAACCGCGGAGCCACGCAAATCGTTCCACTGACGACTCAGGACCAGCTGGCTCAGGCAACTCCGCGGTGTTCTGCAGCGCCAGTTGATATAATTCTGGATTGGCTTGATGCGTGTATGGAGTTGAGAGATCTGCACAGAGCTTCGACGGCGTGTGAAAAATGGGCTAAAGTGTTGGCTGGCAGAGAGATCGATGTTGCAATGCTGCTCGATGGAGTGCAGCGTCCAAACTATGAGACTTTACGGCGTTCGCGGGTGAGGCTCGACTGCGTAGCTATGTTGTTGACTCGGACTCTGCTTCGCCAGATGGGGCGTGAGCACAACATGTACCTGTTCACTGACAGCAGCCCCCAATGGATGGGCCTCGAGCTGTTCGCCAGTTCGTATGACATGATTTCGTACAGCGAGGGCGCAACACATTTCACCAGGAGGCTCCTACCAGTCACGACAGTGAAACACTATATGATGGGCGCTCGAATGAAAGTATTTTCGCTATTATGGCAAATAGCTTTGGTTTCAGGGATGTCGATTACGCAGATACGGAGATTCTGTCGCCGAGTGCGCTCGGTCACAACAGATTTCGGAACAGAGAGGCTCATCGCAGATGCTACGGATATGGTTCCCGACTTTTGCAGATCGATCGGGTCGACAGTGCCCGAAGGAGTTCTTCGTGACGAATTTACTTTCCCGCGTGCGCTTTACATGGCAGGATGGAGACACATATTCGACACACTACTGAAACGGGCATGTTGCAGTTTAAAATGGTTCCCAAAGTTCCTGGAGCAGCTCAAGGCAGTGAGCCGATTCCTTCGCAATCATCGGGAAGAGGTGTGCGGTGTCCTTCGCGGGCGTGGCTTCGCTGGCGTAGCATCTATGGTCGAATCGGAGACCTTCCCCAGTTTCGCGAAATGGAGATGGAAGACTTTACATGGCGTATCGAAGTCATTGCTTTCCTGCGTGGAATCACTAATGTTTCGCTGGGACGACACACCATTCAAAAAGAAACGAGATGCGGCGCTCATGCGTTCTGTCTCGGAGGCAATGACAGATACAGCGTGGCATGCGAAACTTAAATTCATCTCTTGGCTCGCAGGGTGGATTACTGATATGCAAAGCTGGATTGGTGGTTGCCAGTGCCATCAAGCTGAATACGAACAGGGTAAGGCAGTTACTTGTTATAGGAAGGGCCGCAGGCTGTCAGAGGCATGGCCATACATCGACGACAAATTCAATCAAGTACTCAGGGAAGCGAGTGTATGGACTTTCGACATGTTCGCTGGGAGTAAAATGCTCTTACAAGACGTTCAAGGCGTTTCCAGGATGACCGTCGCACTCGGGCGTGAAAAGCTGGTGTTCTTAGACAGGATTCCTTACCTCTTGGCGCGATTGGGTCAGGATGGTGTGAGAGACAGGGTACTAACTCAATTTGCTGCAGTTCCTGAACATGCCCATCACAGGGTTACAAGAGAGTTTCTGGGGAAAGACAGTGCCCTTGCGATTTCTATTCAACATATGAATGCAGACGGTACTGGTATGGATCCACGTCTGACCTCAGAAGTGCAGAGCCTTTGCGACATACCCATGGACGACAACGTTGCAGAGGGCCCACATGCGAAGTCTCATCGCATTCACGCGAGCGCTCCCGCAAGTACGTTCCCATACGTTGCTGCAACCATGCGCATGGCTGAAAATCTATATGATGTTCGCGAGCTTGGGGCAGCTACTGGGTCAGACGTTCAGGCCTTGTGGAATAAGTATACCAGCGTGCTCCAAGTCAACCACAGGTGTTTTCGTAGAGGTCTCAAGATTGACAGGAAGAAGTTCAACAATCGGCTTTATCACCCAGACTTCAAGCTGGACGCAGGCGAGGGCGACCACGAGGCTGTGCTAGCATTGGACGATGGGGGCGACCCAGAAGGTGGCATCGGGGGAGGCGTCGTGCCTTTACCGCCCTTGCCCCCTGCACTACTGGCGCTCTCGGAACCAGCCAAACTACTCAGAGAATTTTTCGGAGCTGCGTTGAAACAATATGGATACTACACGATCGAAGACGACACGGAGGAGCCACACAAAAAACGAGTGTTCCAGATATTGGACATTGACAAGCGCAATGTGACTATCAAAACGTGGGAGGATCAAGTCGCCCAGCAGTTCCAGTATCGATTGACAGTGCACCCTCATCTCATTCGAAGCCTTCATGGGGAAGGCGACGTCGTGGACGGCATCGATGTGTTCAGTGACTTAGACAGCGAGCCCAGGCACATCGACTTGTTAGAACCAGGACTGGATGACCCAGCATTTCGGCATCGTATTTTGGAATGGGCCCATGGGGCATCACCGACCGAAGGCTGCGACCTTTTGAGCTCACCC